TGATAATAAGTTAATAAAATTTTGATAATTAACTACATCTTCAATTATAGGTATCAATATCAAAGTTAAACTTAATAGTTTGTTTGTTTTAATCAAAAGCATTTACCCAAGTTACAAATCTTCTCCATCAACTTGATAGTTACACATAAATTCAGTATATTAAGTAAAAAGTTAATAATAAATATATTATTTTTACTTGTTATATCCCAACGAATAGAAATATTATCAAAAGGAGGTTTTGTGGAGATTTTAGTAATTTTATATAGTTGAAATCATGAGTCGATTGAAGCTAGACCATCTTGGAAAACCTGGAAGCGCTGGGCGGCCGCTTCGTTCTATTGTGGTGGTCTAGCTTCAATTAACTCATGATCTCAACTATATAGAATAGAAATATTGTATTTCTGATGTTTCGTGACTTATTGTAATCCACTTCTTTAGACTGAATAAACAATCGAATCAAATTAACACAAGTTTAAATAATGTAAAAGCGGACTTGTATTAATTTCATTTCGGTTATTTATTTATTCTGAAGAAGTGACTTAAAACATTAAGTCACGTAATGTCAGAAATACACTATTTTTCTACTCATTGAGATATAACAAAAAAAATATATTTTTTTATCTTCAGTCATGCTTTATTAATTGACTGATTGTTTTTGCAATAGAGATTATTTACAAAATAACAATCAAAATATTGATCCCGATAATTTTTTGAATGAAAAACGAAGTATTTATTTGTCACAATGGGGTTTTGTGGAGATTTTAGTAATTTTATATAGTTGAAATCCTGAGTCAATTGGGAGATATCAACTCACTGAAGACATTGGTGAAATGGTTGCTCAATTTTGTGGATTGGTTGAAGTTAGACATTAATACCGTTGGATGCCGACTCAGTGGTCTATCGGTTAAGCGCTCGCGCGCGAGACTGATAGGTCCTTAGTTCGAATCTCGTGAGGCGGGATCATGGATGCGCATCGCTGAGGAGTCCCACAATAGGACGAAACGGCCGTCCAGTGCTTCCAGGTTTTCGATGGTGGTCTAACATCAATTGACTCATGATCTCAACTATATAAAATATTTCTTTATTAACTGCCACTGTGTTTAGTTTGACTGTTAAAATAGAAATTGATTAATTTAAATAAAAAGTTAAAATGAGTATTATGTTTCACATCATTTTAATGTAGAGATCTAAAGTTCAATCAGTCAAAGGTACACGCCTAGATTTAAGTGTTATAATAGAGCAAATAATGAGAAAGTATTAACTTTCAAAACTATCTTATGAAGAATTATTGTATATATTTCTTATGGTATAATTATTAGACATTTAAATTATTGTGTATTTATATTCTCTCTACTTCTGACATTTCTTTTAGTGTATAAACTATTGTTGAAAGTCTTCACTTCATCAGGCTATTTTTAGTTAGCTACAGATTTATCAATTGGTTTTTTCTTTCATCTGTTGTGTCATCACACGTACATTATAATTTCTCATTTGTGTCAATGTGTGGTTACGAAGTCGCGCTATATAAGCGAATGAGTTGACTCGTACAAATGAACTACTCCAAAACATAGATATCTACTTGCTAACTCGGTCTTCTGATTAGGCACTCGATAAGAAGTAGTTAGAGAACTAATAAGCGTTCAGGTCTCGGTCACTGGCAACTGTGCCAATAGTAAAGCGGAAGTTTGTTAGTCCTACTGCAGATGATATAGAACAAGATTAAACATTATGAGACTAAATAACTAATAGTGGTGATTATTAAGAATAAGGATTACAGACCCATAACGGACTTTGAGACGTAAAAGCTTAGGAATATAAACTGTAAATATAAACAATACTATTTAGGGTTATTTTTAACATTAAGATTGGTCAGGTAGAATACACTACTTATCTATAAAAGTAGTTTGAAATCATTTGAATTTAACATCAGCTTTACATGATTATCTCAAAATTCGAGAACTAAAAATCGTTTACACTTAGTTAATTTGGATATTTTACTGTTTCCATTCCAGATATATCTGTAATATTGCTTAGTATACTGTGAAGATATTATTTTGAACGGAAAAAATAATCTTATTATTCAGTCTCGCATATGCTCAGGATATCATTTTTCTACTGACAAAAAACCGATATAATGGGCTACAATATATACAAAAAGAAATGTTATGGGGCTAAGACTAGTCGTAAGCAATTGCAGATGGAAATGTATTACTGCTGATAACTGTCTAGAAACCTTCCAAACATTTTTTAGATACGCACCAGTTGCTGGAACACTGCACAGTTCAAGTTAAGAATTCTTTATTATAATCAAACACTTGGTACTGAATTAAATGGTCATTATTACCATAAGATCCAATAATCAGGAAAGAAGTACACATTCTCCTGAATAAAAGTCTCACAAATAAAATTATGAGGCCAGTAATAAAATTGCTAGTCTGTATCATATAACTGTAAATAGTTGTAATACATAAACTAAAACATTGTTACACAAGAAGTAACATATATGGTTAATCTTTGATCATTCTTCCAACTAAAAAGTGAATAGTAACAGACCTCAGAGGACAAGCTAGACAATTTTACTTAAGTAAGATTATTTAACAGGTACTTTTCTTGATTATAACACTTCGTATAACGATAACAAAAATTTAATTTTTATTTCCTTTATTGTATTGCAAGTCTTGTTAAAGCTAACTGTAACTTCAACGTATATTGTTAATTCGCGTAACGTTTATCTGATCACTTTAATGACTAATAATCTAACTTATTAGGACATCATTAAACATATGAATTACTTGAAATTTGATCATACTTTTGAGAACATTTATTTATTAAGCTAAGATGGATAGTGGTTAGCAGTGGAATCCACGACGCGCGTTTCGTCCCATTCGGGACTCGTCAGCTGGATGTACCTGCATCTCAGAGTTGATGTTCACTCTAGCCACTATCCATCTTTGCTTATCATGCTTGTGAATTAAGGCTATGTCGAGGCAATACGCACAGTATGCACATATGCCAATAAAAGACTGATCAATTGCAGTTCTAAACATCAATGGGAAGATTCAAACAAACAATACCAAGTGAATTTATTTATTAATGTCTAAGACTGAAAGTGAAATAATAAGGCTAACAAAAAACAAAGTGATTAAGAAAAATAATGGTAAATATATGTTTTAAATATGTTGTAATGTTCTTAACTAGTTTATATAGTGTAAGCTGCATTTTACAGTAGTAACTTTCATCTAACCATTATTTTAGTGTCACATTGTAAGGTCAAAATGATACAAGTTCGTAAATGATAAAATTAATTTGAATAAAATCTTTTGAAAATATGTGAATCAGTGGGGGAATTATATTAGTCACTCAATCAATATGGATGAGTCAAGCCGTGTAGTCTATCTACCCAGTCACAAACAAAACCATTAGCTCGGTTTCTGCAAAAAACACAAACATTTTCCCGACTTTATTCACTATTTCCACATAAGTTATGCTGTCAGTCAAGGCTGACTTAAATAATCTAATTAACAGTATAAAATCTGCATATATGACGCACGAAGACGTTTTAAGTTATATAACAACCAGAACCACTTCACTCATTCTGATTGCTGGCTGATGTCTCTGACCAGTAACCAGTATCGTGCTTCACTTCATAGTAAAATCTGACAGCCTAGCTAAGAGATTCAGTACGTCATTACATCAAACTTGATGTAGAGCGATATGAAACAGTTTTCAATTGTAAGAACTAAAGAGGAATCACACTACTATCAGTACCAGAAAAAGTTTTTAACAGTGTTGCTAGACAGGATAAAGGATTAGATAAACTCCTGACTTCGAGGTTGACAGACTGGAATCCGTAGGGATTGGCCGTACGCAGACCAAGTCGCGACACTACAGATCATCGTTTAACAATCAGTTGAGTGAAACTTGTCACTTTACATCAACTTCCTTGACTGTGAGAAAGCATTTGATAGTGTGGATAAGAGAACCTCATGGGACCTTCTTCGACACTATGGTGTACCTTAGAAGATCGTCAACATCATTCGGAATACATACGACAGACTACAGTGCAAAGTCGCGAGCGGAGGACAGCTGACAGATGAATTGCGGGTGAGGACCTGTGTCAAAGAATGCAGCTTACTCTTGCATTTTCTGTTTCTTCTTGTAGTTGACTGGATTACGAAGACCTCCACATCTAAAGGAAGCAAGAAAGACAATGAACATGTTGCATGCAACTAGACAATTTGGACTTCTCAGACGACCTAGCACTCCTATTCCATACATACCAAATAAATGCACGTGAAGACAGCCAGTGTGGTAGAAGCATCTACAGTAGAAGGCCTTGGCATTCACAAGAAAAAGGCAAGATCCTGAAATACGAAACAGTAAACACTGATACAATCACAGTTTATCGAGAAGTATTGGAAGAGGTGGAAAGTTTTACGAATCTGAGCAGCACCATCGATAAACAAGATCTAATGTATATGTGAAGGCATGGAGTGCCAAAGCAAGAAGAGCATTCCTACACTTCAAAAACAGATAGAACTCAAAACAACTGTCTGAAAGCAAACATCAAAGGCATATTATCCAACATGAAAGTCATGGCAGTTCTACTGAATGGAGTTGAAACTTGGAGAATTACCACAACCATCATCAAAAATGTACAAGTAATTATAAACAATTGGCTACTCAAGATACTCAATATCCGTTGACTGGATGCAATCAGCAACAGCCTACTGTGGGAGAAAACAAACCGGCTTCAATCTGAAGAAGAAATTAAGTAAACACGCTGGATGTGGATAGAACATATATTGCAGAAATCATCAAACTCCATCATAAGGCAAGCGTTAACTTGTAGTTCTGAATGTAAACGGGATGAAAAAGAGAAAGACCAAAGAACACACTGTGTTGGGAATTGGAAGCAGATATGAAAATGGATGACAATTGGAAACATTTGGAAAGGATTGTTCAGGACAGAATTGGATGAAGAATGCTGGTGAGCGGCCTATGTTCCTCCATGAGGGGTAACAAGCGTAAGTAAGTGAGCCACTAAATTTGTAATTATGCTACTATGTCATCATTACTACTTTTAAAAAACTCATATAAGAACACCACTGAATGTAGAGGATTAACGCAAAATAAATAAACTAACTGTTTAAGACTTAGGACAGTTGTCCTTGAAACCCATATTAGACCCTACCTCCATCATTGGTTTACATATAAATGACGATAGGTACATATTTTGGGACGTATTAGTTAACTGATGCTAAATATGATTAAGATTTGTTAGAGACAGCTTCACGGAAGAAAAACTGTGCATTCTTAAACAAAGTTGAAACTTTTTGAACTGGCTTAATACTCAATCGTGCAGAAAGGTAAATAAAAGAGCGAAAATGTGAACATGGAAAATAGAATACAACCTAAACTATCGCACCAACGGAGATTAGAAAATGTCTCACTGTCAAGAGTATCGTAAAAAAATTAATACATCAAAACTATTGTGATATATGTTCTATAAAAACTAGACGAACAGTGAATCCAGCTCCGTCGAAAATACAAATGCCACTTACAATACTATCCAACTCTTTTAATTACATTGAATTTCAAAGTAATGGTTATGGACTAAAGTTATCGCTTCGCAGTTTTTAATTTAGATGTCTTTAAATTATTACAGTGGTAACTGCAAAAATAATGGAAGTGGGAAATATCTATCATTTGACTATTACTAGTAACATTAGGCTGGTCGATATAAGGGCTTTCAAAACTACAACATACCACTTGTAAGTGAAGTACCTAAACCTTTCAACCAAACTTCAAAACTGACAAACAGAATGTTTAAAACAATAATAAGATATTTCGATAGTCTAGACAGACATCATTTTGGTTTACATATAGAGTATTCGTGATTCCCAGTAAGTTTACATTGAAAGAAATTTTCCCGAGTTCAAAATTCTCTTTTGAATTCTTGGATACTTTGATCAGATAACGAAATACACCTTACAATGTCTGATACCCATTATTCATAGTATTAGGTACACATACATTTTTATAAGTAGGATGAATCTTATGTTATTGTAGTAAGTATAAACAGTTTTAAATTACCGGTGAGTAGGAGCCTTTCTTCTGGTTTCCCACAAGAAACATTAACAACCGTGTCGAACAGATATGCGCGACCTTGGCTTCCTTGAAATGACTTGGAAATAAGATCTTGATGACGAGCAAGGTGAGCACGACAATGTACACAGCTGTATGTACGGTCATCAGTATCGCTACTGTTACTGCAACTACTGTTGCTGCTGTTGCTTCGTGTTGAGCTGTTTCCTTGTGCTCCTAAGTAGACTTGAAATGTCTTTACCATGACAGTGGTCTGGTGGGAAAAATCACAAAAAAACGTTTGTGATTAAATAAAGGAAAGAGGTCTTTGGATATATACAGGAATTATGCGCTCAGAATAATCTGAGTTAACATTTGTGGTTATATATAGTGTGGTTCATATCCTAAAGGTACTAAAAATGAATAGCTACGTTCGAAAGTTGAAAGAACAACAGAAGTTAGCACTTTCATAGTTTATAATTTAAGAACATACTATTTGCATTATTTTGTGATTGCACAAGGTAAATAAACTGAGTTTCTTCTTGAATCAATAAATAGATTATAGATCTGAACGGTAATGTAATCAGCTCAAAAAACAATAGGGTATTGAAAAACACTAGTTGCGTCATTGCATAGCGCTTCAGAGCATTGGATATGCAAATAGTGATACAAAAGCCCACATAATAAGAAAAACTTGGTTATACACCCCTATCAACTTTTGATGAGTATGTAACTGATGCACAGCTTCATTACTACAATACATATGAAAGTTCCTTAATCTCCTAGCTCAAATCACTCCAGTGTCACGGATGGTGTGATTTCACAAAATTCCAATCTTTTGCAAATGTTCTCTAATATTAAAAGAGAACAACATCCCAGAATAATATGGATTATAGCCGAATATCGTTTATTGACCATAGCTCCGGCTAGATCATCATTACACAATCTCGGTCTATTTTGGCTGTCTGAACTTACACAATACACTAATACAGAGTATCAGCAAACTGGATGTGTAGAGCCAGTATTCTGGGTTTTTTAAGTGCTTTATATGAACAACATGGTATCCAATTTAAACTTATTATAAATTGGTCAGCAAAATGATCCTTTGACTATAGCGTCGACTTACAAGTCGACGAAGTGACAGGAATGAATTTTAGCACAAGCATTTTTCCAATATTTAATACACTTTAGCATTGAGGACCCAGAAATTAGATAACAAACCTGCTTCAGTTTGAGCACCTGGGCAGTATCACAGCCCTCACACAAATCGAACGAGATTTGTGGGGCGCATATGTATCTGGTGCTTCCTTGTATCAATATTTATGTGTTCAAATAAATAAATAAATAGATAACAAAACATGTCGCTTTATACAATTACTGGATATATCACCCTAAAAAAGTTGAGGTAGTATTCCGCCAAGAATTATGGGGATATAATTGTAAATTATGCAGCATCAGTTTGTGAAACAACTAATCCGTTATAAGATTGTACCTAAATAAGGAATGTGATAAGGGTATAGTACGATTTTTTGGACTAAGTAGGCCGAAAACAATAATTGGTTAATAACTCTTCAGATATTTGGAACACTCTATAAACAGCAGCTAGAACATTTTATTATTACGAGTTGAAATGGTTCAGGCAGATTAGTATCTGATTTAAATAGCTAGGCTAGTACACACGGTTAACAAGATCAATACAAAGTGGTAATATGATGAGAATATGAGTAGCCATTCTGCAAAAAGTTGAGTTATTGCTAAAAGTATATCAGAAGAACAAAAGCACGACCGGTAAAAGTCTAAGAATGTTTCCAAGTATACAATCATATACGGGCATACGCACCCACCCACTGTTTATAGTTCAAGGATCTCTTTGTAGAATTATCTACACCCAATAATGAAACAAAAAGGCTTTCTAAATAATTTTGACCGTAACTGACGCTTGTATTTAACCGTATCTACAAATTTACTGTGACAAATACAAGCGACCAGATTTCGTCTGTGGCACTCAACAATCAAACTAAGTGTATATTCTCATTAGGAGGTGCTTATTGTAAAATACTTAGCAGATGTCAATGTCAATTGTTTTCAAATGGATAAAGCACAATAAGCACATACCTATTGCATCGAAACCCTCGACCTTTTTGATATAACAGCTGATTGAAGGTTATTCTGTCAGTTATGAAAATTCCGGTACGCAGAGTAAATGCATAAATGATTAGTAAAAACAACGTTCAACAAACGAGAGTGCAAACTATCATAACAAAAAAATCTAATATATTACGCCATCCATTAGAATTATGATCCTCATATAGAGGAAAAGGTATGAATAATATATGGCTGTTATTCTGCTTTCAGGTCACTCCATCAAAATTGATGTTGCGTATAAAGCCCAAGGTTTAGCATGGAATACGAGCTTTATTTAATCATTCGAATGGTCCGTATAGACTTTTACGTTTAAGCTATTGTGAAAATATTTTGGTTACACTCTAGACACAAAATACATAAGTAGGATATGGTCTGCACCCTGGGTCGTGAATCTTTTGTGTTGAAAAAATCCACAAAATAAATAGTTTTGTCAGCCTTCAGCATTCATGCAGGCCTCGTTAGTTTCAATGGAATCACCGTAATCTGAGGAACTCGGTCACGAGTCTTCACGAGATCACGAATGGGTACGTCGTGCTATTCACCCTTTGCAACTGCTAGTCAGCTTAAACTAGTCACTTCTTGATATATTGGCAACTTTTCAAGTGTATCTTCGGGCTAATTCGTCCCTGACTTATTATTTGACTTAGTCGATATCTTTCGATCATAAAGGTGTTATGGACATAAGCGTTGTCGAACACCGAATACCCGTGGCACCTTTAGTATCATAAATGAGTCATATCTAAAAAAAAGTCTCTTTAAGACTGTCATACATGTAATTTGGCACTAATAATTCACAAGAATAAGGAAGATTTGGCAAATACGATTTTCATCCACTGGAAGTATTTATACATTAACCTACTATCAATTTTCTGATTGAAGCTACACATGCCTCGTTAAAAACAAACTCTGTATTGTGTTCCCCATATTAGTTTACCTAACCCACTGGCGACTTTCAAACATTGAATTTTAATCTCCCTTTAAGAAGCTCGAGATTTCCTGTTGTTTATGATCAATACTTATAACATTGTATTCTTAAGCTTCATTTTTCATTGTTTTCCATAATCTATTACCGATTTTCCCGACTTTAAAATAATCAAGCTTGAATATATCTCATGGAAACTTCGTTGTAAAAAAATAGGTTCATCAATAAAGCCCTTCATATTTTCAATATTATTCCGAATATGATTCTCGGCTTAACAGTATGCAATATATGTATTACATACCAATAGGTGAAACTCCTATCAGTAATAGTTCTAGAAAGTCAGTACGTTTGCCGTTTTGATATGTAAACCCAGCCATTAGTAAGTTCAGAATTCGAGGAGTTTCAATGTATTTGTCGTTGGTCATTTAGACTACTTGCTTTGGAGATCGAATAGATCGGAAGACGATGACTGTCGATAACTTTCATATGGTAAAGTGACAGCGGTTCAAGAGGGAACAGAACAGGTGCTATTGGAAAAAAATAAGTACAAGCAGAGTTAAATCAGCCTGAATAACACTTCTCCTGACGTGTGCAGGCGCACTGTAAAACCAAGTAACCATTACAAAACAAATACTCATACTATTCAAGGAAAAATATTCCACGAAAAGCGAAAGGATAGATTAGTTCATTTCCTTCCAAAGATGAACAATCGATGATAAAGTAATATATACAGAAGGAGTCCAACTGGTTACCAGTTATCAACGGCAAGTGTTCTTAAAACAAATATGGAACATGCTTTGGTATCCGTAATAGAGAATCAAAACAATCAGTTCACAAAGTCACAACTAAAGCATAGTACTCTGATATGGCAACTGTCAAAAACAATATGAAGTAAATTAACGATGAAACATGTCAAACCCCAATAGTGTTACCTTTCGTCTAGCAGCATTAAATCAGGAATCAGTCATGAAAGCTTAGACAATATTACAATCTAAACTGTTACCAATAACTGATGGTTCAAGTAGATTTGAATGGAATACTGTTTGATCCATGAAGGAAGCGAGTGCATATTCAACAAACATCATAAACAAAAAGATGAACATCTTAAAATCAATAAATTAAATGCCCAAATGTACAAGTTGAAGCCACTACAAAGCACACTGAACTTTTTATTTTGTGAGTGAACCTGACTTCACCATCAAATTATAAAGTGCATACTCTATATGCAGATTATACTAGTAAGAGTTCATTTCAGTAGGCAAACAAGTGTTAAAGGAAATTATCATGATCAAAAGCTCTCAAATTACTTGTAGCTCATTATTTACTCCGTGAAATAAATATTTGATTGCAATTATGATTTAATATTAAACAGTTGAAGCAAACCATTAGGAATTCTGAATATGATTTTATTCAGTTTACGAGATCTAAATACATGTCCCTGAAATTTTAAAAGAACAGATAATCGCTGACTTACACAAGCCTAAAAAACATTGATAAAGTGAAACATGAAGTCAAACCTCTTAGCTTATTATCCCCACTGCAACCCAGTCCATAGAATTCAGTCATCATTCCAGGATAGAAAGCATGATATTGATGGCTACTCTAAAACTAGTTAACTTAATAAGTTATGAGTATTTCTGAGGTTAGTTACACGAGAGAACTAAATCAATAAATCTATTAAGAAAGAGGACAATACATTACAGAACACACATTCAGTCTTTAAAATATATGCCAATATGAAACCTTTGTAGTGAAAACAGTAACCTATCAAAAAGTCAGTGGTATAATACTAGGAAATAAAAACTAAAAATTCTTTGCAGATCAACTAATGGGAAGGGGATATGTGGAAATTTCAGTATATTTCATAGTTGAACTCATGAGTCAATTGAAGCTAGACCACCATCGAAAACCTGGAAGAACTGGACGACCATTTCGTCCTATTATGGGACTCCTCAGCAGTGCGCACCCACGATCCCGCACTCGTGAGATTCGAACCCAGGACCTACCAGTTACGAGCCAGAGCCCTTAACCGATAGACCACTGAGCCGGCATCCAAAGGTGTTAATGTCTAACTTCAACTGATCCACGAATTATGAGCGACACTTCACCGATTGCCTTCAGTGAGTTGTTATCTCACAGCAGACGTGGTTGAACTCCACTGGTCACTGCTTCCCACTAGAACTCCAGGACATGTATCTTGAAATCAGTCACTAGTGAGCATATGATTATAATCAGAAGGAGATTTGTGGAGATTTCAGTATATTTCAAAGTTGAAATCATGAGTCAATTGAAGCTAGACATTAACACCTTTGGATGCCGGCTCAGTGGTCTATCGGTTAAGGGCTCTGGCTCAAAACTGGTAGGACCTGGGTTCTAATATCACGACTGCGGGATCGTGGGTGCGCGCTGCTGAGGAGTCCCATAATAGGACGAAACAGCCGTCCAGTGCTTCCAGGTTTTCTATGGTGGTCTAGCTTTAATTGACTCATTATATCAACTAATGGATTGTTATTTATAGCTTCTATATAATATGAGATCGATTTTTGTCTGCCTAGAAGTTATTATGTTGTATTATTTAAAAGGAAAAATAATAAACATGATCCATGAAAAAAGTTCATATAAATCAACAAGAAGGAATAATCTGGGGAATGTATGAACATCAAGTGTCTTGATTTCCAGTTTTTCATCCTGAATATGTAGTGACATATTTTTCTGAAAAGAACCCGGATAAGTGTGAACTTAGGGAAACGGAAATAAAATTCTTAGGTTATTAAGCAAGAGGTTATTCTACCTCGTGAGGACAAAGTACATGCAATAAGGGATTACACCGTACCGACGACTTCTACCGATGTTTCATCCCATACGCGGCAGACCATTAATCGACTTACTTTGCGGTAACCCACACAAATTAGAATTGAACGTCGCCGCACGTACTGCATTTTCAGAGATCAAAATGGCCCCACCTTCAGCCACACTTTTCTCTCATCTTGACCCATCAGCCACGCTTAGTATATCGATTGATGCATCGGATTTTGCTATAGCAGCCGTTATGCAACAGAACAACTCCGGGAGTTGGCAACCTCTTGAATCTTTCTCATGATGCCTCACTCTCATGGTGACGAGATATAGTGTTTTGGTCGAGAACTCCTAGCAGCCTACTGTGCTATCAAATATTTCCGGCACGCAGTGGAAGGTCGCAATTTCATCCTATTCACCGACTATAAGCCTTTAACGTATGCTATGCATAACAAGTCTGAACACTACTCACCATGAGAATGCAGACATTTGGACTATATCTCTCAGTTCACCACAGACCTTCCTCACGTTAAAGACGAGCCAAACTATGTTGCCAATGCTCTGTCATGTATCCAGGTGAATGCAGTTACTTTACCGGTGACTGATCTCCCTGATACAGCCGTTGCTCAGGCAAGTGATCCTTCGTGCACAGAAGCACAGCATTCTACCTCCCTTCAGTGCCGGTATGTACCCCTAGCTACTTACTCAGGTACTTTCCTATGCGATATTTCTACCCATCGACCCATCGTACCTCTGCTTACCATCGTCTCGTCTTCGATGCCCTGCATGGACTCTCTCACCCATGTATCGCAGCCACATTACACCTCATCGCTGCACAATACGTCTGGTCGTCCATGGATAAAGATGTCCCTATGTGGGTAAAACAATGCTTACAATGTAAACGGTCAAAAGTGCACATGCACGTATCTGCCCCCGACGGCACTTTCTCTACTACTGATTCTCGCTACGATCACATTCATATGACATTGTTGGATCATTGCCACGGGTATGGTCACATACTCGTGTGCATCGATCGTTTCATAAGATGGCCCGAAGCTATTATCATCACATCTATTACGGTGAAGACATTTGCTCACCGATTTGTAGAACGGTGGATTCTTTTTCTCTCCCTTTTTTAACTTTTTTCCTTCCAACTAGATATTATTCTTAAAATTAGAAGTTTTGAACTTGTGTTACGCTTAAATAAACTTCTCAGACTCGTTTTATCTTCAATATGGATATACGACTCATACATATTGATTATCCTTTGCACTTAATTGAGACTATAGCATCACTCCAAACTATGACTGCACAAACACTTATTCTAACATCATAACAAGTTATTTACTCATTAATTTATTTCGTTTTATTTTATTTTTATCACTCATTTGGTGATACATACATGGTTGTTTATTCTTGTTCTATGTTCATAAACAGGCGTATTAAGCTATTTACGTATTTCGTGTCTCCTTCATTCCTATTTCCTAAGTTTCTTCCTTTCTTTCTTTTAAATCAATTCAAAATTTTTGTCAATTGAACAGAACCTGATTTATTATTACTATTTTATTGTTATTATCTTATTTTCTTTTCTTTCCTCTCCCAAATATGGCAAATATAATGCTAACATTATTGAAACTTGTGTATTATTGCATTTTCGAAGAAATGCGAAATGGTTTCTTCACAACACTTATGTACCCATAAGATGTTTGTGAATAGTAATAACAATCGTTAGTTGTTATCCTCAGCTGATATTTTACTGTCATCATGTTTTTGGTTAGCCGAAATCATTTGTACTAGACAAACAATTCAGACGAGTCAATTAACATTTGGATTAGATCAATACAACTGCTCTCCTGTTTTACGGTCTGATTACACAGGCTCCAAAAATAACACGTAATAAATCTGTCCATCTTCACCGTCACATCATCACGCTAAATACCATAGGTAACAAATATGCTAATAAATAGTTATGATCAACCGTATCATGAGGGAAACAAATATGGTCAATGGGAATGGTCGACGGTTACGGAGTATCGACTTTTGACTAGCGTTAAACATGCAAACCACTGGGTTTCATGTAAGTGGTCTACAGGTTAAGCACTAAAAATGAGATCATTAAGTCCTGATACTAAGTAGTGTCGTGGTTAGTCGCTGTTGAGGAATTCCATACTAGAATGAAACAACAGTCCAGCGTTTCCTAAATTTCAAAGGTTCTCCAACTAAGATCTGTCCCTATTACAAA